CACAAGATCCTTAGCAATGTATGGTATTCTCAGAAGTTGGGGAACCCTGAAGAAGAACGGTTGTGCACAGTGAAAACAGCTGCGGATAGCATACGGCAGGACATCAGGTCAATGCTTTGTGATACTGACCATTACACTCCTGCTGATGATGCTTTTCATAATCAGATGATGACTGTGCCTAATACTCTCAGTGTTTTGGTCGAAAGGATTACAAACAAAGATACGAAAGGTGATGTTGCTACAAATTGTATCTAAGCACCTTCTTGATGTTATGTTGGGAGTGTGTTCATCACATAATGAGGCTATTGCATATGAACATTCTGCAATGGCTCCAGGTCATGAGATTGGTGAAAATTCCTTCATGCAATTTGTCTTTGACAATGCAGATTTTAATGTTCGCACACTTGATGGATATGGCACATTTCATAGTATGGTTGGAATCATATGTGTCAAACCAGGTAGTTCTGTCTGTATATAACATGCTATCAAGCGTAACAAAGCTTTCTTAGCAGACAATGTTAGGTCCAAGTCAATTGATATTTTGACTTGTTCATTTCAGAGCAAGAAAAGTTTGCTTGGTTTGACTGTTGATGCCATTTCATTGTCGGAAAAGGGGCGGCGGGGTAGCCTAATGGTTAAAGCGTTGGCTCGTCACGCCAAAGACCCGGGTTCGAATCCCCACATGGGTACAATGTGTTAAGCCCATTTCTGGTGTCCCCCCGCCGTGATGTTGCTGGAATATTCCTAAAAGCAGCGTAAAACCAAACTCAGTCAGTCAGTCATTGTCAGAAAGCTGACCCCTTCTAGCTCAGTGCATATTCTTTTGGATACGCTTTGGATGAGTGGAGTGTGGAGGACACGCCCTGCTGGAGTGGATGCATGGAGTGTGCCAGAAGTATTGACAATTATGAATTATCCAAAGTGATCCCATTGCCATTTGTCAACTTGCAGGCATCGAATCCAGACGATATATATACTGTGCTGGCATATTCTGCTGACACATGCAGTAAACATGGACAGAAAACATGTTTTGTGACATTTGACTAAACTCTATTTGAGAAAGAAGTTAATATTGTAGCTTCCCACCAGAACAAAAGTACTGTAGCTTCAGTTGTTGTCAGACTTGGTGGTTTCCATCTCCTCATGTCTTGCATGGTTTTGGTCGGTTATATAATGGATGGCAGTGGATTGAAAGAGCTATGGTCACTCATCCATGCCTCTGACTCTACTGATAAAATGTTGACAGGTCACGCTTATGCAAGAGCATTGAGGGCTCATACTCTGACACATTTAGACAGCTGTTATTGCCTTGCAGAAGGTCAGCCTGGATGAAACAAATAAAGCTTGTCTGAAGACTTTCTATAAGGATGTTCAAACAGACCATGTGATCCCTGATGAACTTCCAGCAATTGCCCATGTCACAAACCTTGTCGAAAAAATGACTGCAGTTATGGAATGTGAATCGTCTCAAAGCAGAACTGCCAAGTTGTGGTGTCAATATTTTGAGCAAGTTTCTTTGATACACCAGTTCATTCGAGCTGAAGGAATAGGAGACTGGGATCTTCATATTGATGCTGCTTGCAAGATGATACCATATTTTCATGCTGCAGGACATATTGCTTATGCCAAAAGTGGCCATTTGTATCTTCAACAGATGTCACAACTGGGAGATATTATGCCCAAGGATGAATATGAAGCTTTTACCAGGTCTGGGGGTTTGAATGTCAGGCGAAGTGACAAGATGTTCGCTGGCATCTGGACAGACATGACAATTAAACAGGTTCTCATGCGGGCTATGAAGACATCTGGTGGTCTCACTCGTGGACGAGGACTAACAGACAGTGTGTTGGCGCAATGGATCTTGGCAATGCCTGGTTGTACTGAAATGATTCAGTACTTCGAGGAATTCTTTGGGACCAGATTTTGTAGTGTTGCACAGCACGTAGAACTAAGGACGCCTAGACTTGAGAGGGCCACCAGTGACGTTAACAAGCTGATTGAATGGCTATCAACTCATTCTCCATTTGACCAAGGACAAGAACTGGTCTCCTTGAGTAGTCGAATTTTAGGGAAAGAAGACATTACTTGTGATTCTGCACTTGCAATTAGAGATTCTGCTTTGAAGAATATAGTTGGCAAAAGCTTTCGAGATCTGCACATTCCAAGAAAAAACAGAGTACTCCCCCTATCTGTCTTGAACAACTTAATCAAAATACAGAATGAGGTTATACCTGTCAATACCATGCAGCTTTTTCATCGTATCCTGTGCCTCATGAAAACAGATGATGACTTTTTATCCTGTTTGAAATATGAAGTTTCTCCATGTCCTCCATCACTATTCGATGAGTACTCAATGTGAAAAACAGAAAAGATCTGTCATGTACTCTGTCATTGATTCTTTGTCAGGCAAACAAAGCCTTCTACATGATGAGGAAGTTCCTCCAGATGCTGTGTACATAGTTGATGGTGGATACTTGCTGAGAAAAGTGACATGGCCCCAAAGCAGAACATACAATGATGTTTATGATGCTTTTCTGACATATGTCAATAGACACTTTGGGAACAATTGCATCATTGTGTTTGATGGGTATGGCGAATCTGTGTCCCCAAGAGGTGTTGTACAGAGTCGGAGAGCATCCAGATATCTGAGCACTGATATTGTCTTCAATTCTGAAACACCATTGACGATCAAATTGGATAAATTCCTGTCCAATGGTCAAAACAAGTCACATTTGATAAAGTTTCTGACACAACAATTTCATGAGCTCAATACCCCAGTGAAACAAGCCAGTGCAGATGCAGATCTTCTCATTGTACAAACAAGTATTGATTGTGCTGATAATGGGCACAAAGCCATTGTTGTTGGGACTGATGTTGATCTTCTAGTGCTCCTCATCAAGCTGTGTGCTTTAGAAAGATTGTACTTCCATAAAACTGGGAGCGGAAAGACTGCTGATCGTCTATGTAACATTTCGTTGTTACGGCAAGCATTGCCAGAGAGCTTCATTTCTGGGTTGCTCTTTCTCAATGCTATGACTGGTTGTGACACACCATCAGCCTTGTACAGACAGGGAAAGAAAAAAACTGTCATGTTGTTCACAAAACGACAGGACTTGCAACCACTTGTCAAAGCGTTCCATAATCAATTATCCACAAAGGACATAGTTGCGTTTGCAGGAGGGCAGTTCTTACTGGCATTGCATGGAGAACCTCAGTCTGGTAAATCCCTGAATGAGCACAGATATCATTGATTCACAAGAGCCGTTGCCAAGTGTCCCATTCACACACAGATGCAGTTATCTGCCTTGCCACCTACATCGGCAGCGGCGAGAGAACATTGTCTGAGGGTATATCTGCAAGTGCAGCAATGGCTTGGAAGAAGTCTTCCACCAAATGAATGGGAATTGCAAACAGTTTGTGGCCAGCTCAAGCCAGTTACAACCCGTGACCCCCAGCATCAGAGACATTGATCAACATGATCAAACGAAAATGTAAAACAGGATGTGAGCGTATGGGTGGGTGCAGAATGGCAGGATTGAAATGTTCGCGTCTATGAGGATATTGTCAAGGTAGTTGCAGCAATTCAAACACATTATACCTTGAAGAGGAGGATGAAGATGATCATGAACTACCATCTGATGAAACATGAATTGTCTTCCAGCGACACTGATGAGAGTGAAATTGAAGATGAGCCACAACCTTCAACTTTCTCCAGACTGACAAGGAAAAGAACAATATCTTTTTAGATCTACAATCATACGTGTTTGAAGATGCCCACTTACATAATCTATAAATGGAGTTTGATAGTCTTGGTATTCTGCAGAATATCAGTTATGTTTAGGTACTGTCAGGTTGAGTTATGATATTTTCTTGAAATTGTGAGTATCAAAGGGCGATAATTCTTTTTAAAGCATGGAAATGGCTACTTAAATGTGGTTTTATGAAATTTTCGCAAATTTATTGAGTTTTCATTGTCTGAGAAAAATGCCCAAAAATTGCAAATTTTCAGTTTCAGTCAAAATGTAAAAATATGATTTTATTAAGTTATATTTGGTGGTTTGTGGTGAGAAAGACATTGAACAATACAGTTCAAGGTGATTTTGACATATCTAAGCCTTATCGTTATACCTACAGGTCTTTGTGTCACCCAAGGGTAAAAACATAAAAAATCTATTTTAGCACACAAAAAGGGCCACAACTCCGAAATGTGAATTTGTTTTCTTTCTGAAATAATAGTCAACAATCTTGAGATATATTCACTCAGTTGTCAAACATTTATGTACTTATGTACAGAAAAAAAGAAGTTGTGACTATTTTATCAAGCACGATTGGTCTTCGAATTCTAGGTTAGCAAAAGGTTGCATAGGGTAGCCATGTTTGCACGTGCACTATGGATTTATCTCAAGTGGGATTTTAGGGGACTTTTAGCAAGTTATGTAGGAAGGTTTGTAGAACATATCTGCCAAGTTTTATTTCTTCGTCATTTTTTCTCGACCTCTTTGCTAATTTGACTGGCCTGGGTGTGTTCTGCTGTAAAGATGACTGATTTGATTTGATTGACTGGCTTTTGTTCTTTGGTAAAGAAAGATGTACTAGAGCTGATCTACTACATATGTTGTCAGGTGATAGGGCGTGATTGGAGCTGATCGTGTTGATGTGTACCCATACTGGTAAACTGGACGTCATCGACTGGTTAGTTTCAGACAGCGCATGGTTGAAGATGATCCACCGGTTGTCTTGATGGGTATAGGGACGGCTTGACTGGATGTGATCCAGTGGATTGTTGGTTTGAAGCACATGGTGATCCCCCTAATTGCATCATCTCTATTTGATAGTCAGTACAGTATGTAGAACGGTGCTTTAAGAAGAGTTATTTATGAGTATTGAAAAGGTTATGGTGCTTTCAAACTCAATAGCTGCAAAAGGTAACATTATATTCATTATTTACCGTTAGATGACATGCATCAGTGTCATGAATTCTTTATTCTTTATTTATCCAGATGAACCTGTTTTTAGAAGCTGCCCCCTCAACCTTACCTTATTCTCCGACAGAGGAGTCAGTCGCACCAATGTCACGTGGCCAAATGTAACCGCCATCTATCCTTCTACCAACAAGACTGCCCGGGTCGTCTTGGCAACGTCAAAGCCATGTGGGACCTATTTCGACGAGGGGGTTCACCAGGTCACATACCATGCTTATGACAACCTGGGGAGGAGATCCGAGAAACCGTGTTCCTTCACGGTGACAGTACAAAGTATGTACACCTTCGCGGTGACAGTAGAACGTATGTACACCTTCACGGTGACAGTAGAACGTATGTACACCTTCACGGTGACAGTAGAACGTATGTACACCTTCACGGTGACAGTACAAAGTATGTACACCTTCACGGTGACAGTAGAACGTATGTACACCTTCACGGTGACAGTAGAACGTATGTACACCTTCACGGTGACAGTACAAAGTATGTACACCTTCACGGTGACAGTACAAAGTATGTACACCTTCACGGTGACAGTAGAACGTATGTACACCTTCACGGTGACAGTAGAACGTATGTACACCTTCACGGTGACAGTAGAACGTATGTACACCTTCACGGTGACAGTAGAACGTATGTACACCTTCACGGTGACAGTACAAAGTATGTACACCTTCACGGTGACAGTAGAACGTATGTACACCTTCACGGTGACAGTAGAACGTATGTACACCTTCACGGTGACAGTAGAACGTATGTACACCTTCACGGTGACAGTAGAACGTATGTACACCTTCACGGTGACAGTAGAACGTATGTACACCTTCACGATGACAGTAGAACGTATGTACACCTTCACGGTGACAGTAGAACGTATGTACACCTTCACGATGACAGTAGAACGTATGTACACCTTCACGATGACAGTAGAACGTATGTACACCTTCACGGTGACAGTACAAAGTATGTACACCTTCACGATGACAGTAGATAGTAGGCAGAGATCTTCACGGTGACAGTAGATAGTAGGTAGAGATCTTCACGATGACAGTAGATAATAGGCAGAGATCTTCACGATAACAGTAGATAGTAGGCAGAGATCTTCACGATGACAGCAAATAGTAGGAAGAGATCCTCACGGTGCCAGTAGATAGTAGATATAAATCTTCACAATGACAGTAGATAGTACTCCCCCGAGATCTTCACGGTGCCAGTAGATAGTAGATATAGATCTTCACAATGACAGTAGATAGTAGGCAGAGATCTTTACGATGACAGTAGATAGTATCCCCCCGAGATCTTCACGGTGCTAGTAGATAGTAGATATAAATCTTTACAATGACAGTAGATAGTACGCAAAGATCTTCACGATGACGTTAGATAGTAGGCAGAGATTTTCACGATGACAGTAGATAATAGGCAGAGATCTTCACGGTAACAGTAAATAGTAGGCAGAGACCTTTACGATGACAGTAGATAGTACCCCCCACCCACCCCGAGATCTTCACGGTGCCAGTAGATAGTAGACATAGATCTTCACAATGACAGTAGATAGTAGACAGCGATCTTCACGTATACATATATACGATGACAGTAGATAGTGGGCAGAGATCTTCACGGTAACAGTAGTTAGTAGACAGAGATCTTCACGATGACAGTAGATAGTAGACAGACATCTTCACGATGACAGTAGATAGTAGACAGATCTTCACGGTGCCAGTAGATAGTAGACAGCGATCTTCACGTATACAGATAATCTCATAATTGATGATTGGTTCATTACCACTGGTCAATCATCGAAAATAATTGGTTAGAGTCATTTATGAAATTTGTTAATGCACAAAAAATAAGGAAAAAAACATGTAGTTATTTGGGGGGTTTGGGCAAAATTTCACATCTTTAAAGGATGACTAGGATGTTAGGAACAGAAATTTCTTCGCGTCTTTAAGATAAATTCAATCATGACTTGGAACGAGCTTATAGTGCTTATGAAATGTAACAGACAAAACCAACCTTGTGAAAAATATTGTTGATGAAAACAAGTGTTCCAGAATTGTTTGTGTTCGATTATGAGAAAACATGATCGATTGCTTGGTCGTTTAGTCACTACGACCAATCTTTGATTATTTCAATTAATCGGATCACCACTAGTAGAGAGTAGGCAGAGATCTTCACGATGACAATATATAGTAGGCAGAGATCTTCACGATGACAGTAGATAGTAGGCAGAGATCTTCACGATGCCATTATATAGTGGACAGAGATCTTCACGATGACAGTAGAGATTAAGCAGGGATCTTCACGATGACAGTAGAGAGTAGGCAAGGATCTTCACGATGACAGTAGATGGTAGACAGAGATCCTCACGATGACAGTAGATGGTAGACATAGATTTTCACGATGACAGTAGAGAGCATGCAGGGGCCTTCATGAAAACAGAAGAGAGTATGTAGAAGTCTTGACAGTGACAGTAGAGATCGTCACGGTGACAACAGAGTGTATGTAGAAGTCTTGACAGTGACAGTAGAGATCGTCACGGTGACAACACAGTGTATGTAGAGGTCTTCGCAGTGACAGTAGAGATCGTCACGGTGACAACAGAGTGTATGTAGAAGTCTTGACAGTGACAGTAGAGATCGTCACGGTGACAACACAGTGTATGCAGAGATCTTCACAGTGACAGTAGAGATCGTCACGGTGACAACAGAGTGTATGTAGAGGTCTTGACAGTGACAGTAGAGATCGTCACGGTGACAACAGAGTGTATGTAGAGGTCTTCACAGTGACAGTAGAGATCGTCACGGTGACAACAGAGAGTATGCAGAGGTCTTCACAGTGACAGTAGAGATCGTCACGGTGACAACAGAGTGTATGTAGAGGTCTTGACAGTGACAGTAGAGATCGTCACGGTGACAACAGAGTGTATGTAGAAGTCTTGACAGTGACAGTAGAGATCGTCACGGTGACAACACAGTGTATGTAGAGGTCTTCGCAGTGACAGTAGAGATCGTCACGGTGACAACAGAGTGTATGTAGAAGTCTTGACAGTGACAGTAGAGATCGTCACGGTGACAACACAGTGTATGCAGAGATCTTCACAGTGACAGTAGAGATCGTCACGGTGACAACAGAGAGTATGTAGATGTCTTCACAGTGACAGCAGAGATCGTCACGGTGACAACAGAGAGTATGTAGAGGTCTTCACATTGACAGTAGAGATCGTCTCGGTGACAACAGAGAGTATGTAGAGGTCTTCACAGTGACAGCAGAGATCGTCATCGTGACAACAGAGTGTATGTAGAGGTCTTCACAGTGACAGTAGAGATCGTCACGGTGACAACAGAGAGTATGTAGAGGTCTTCACAGTGACAGTAGAGATCGTCACGGTGACAACAGAGTGTATGTAGAGGTCTTCACAGTGACAGTAGAGATCGTCTCGGTGACAACAGAGAGTATGTAGAGGTCTTCACAGTGACAGTAGAGATCGTCACGGTGACAACAGAGTGTATGTAGAGGTCTTCACAGTGACAGTAGAGGCCTTCACAGTGACAACAGAGCGTATGTAGAGGTCTTCACAGTGACAGTAGAGTGTATGTAGAGGTCTTCACAGTGACAGTAGAGATCGTCTCGGTGACAACAGAGCGTATGTAGAGGTCTTCACAGTGACAGTAGAGATCGTCACGGTGACAGCAGAGCGTATGTAGAGGTCTTCACAGTGACAGTAGAGTGTATGTAGAGGTCTTCACATTGACAGTAGAGTGTATGTAGAGGTCTTCAGAGTGACAGTAGAGATCGTCACGGTGACAACAGAGCGTATGTAGAGGTCTTCACAGTGACAGTAGAGATCGTCACGGTGACAACAGAGAGTATGTAGAGGTCTTCACAGTGACAGTAGAGATCGTCTCGGTGACAACAGAGTGTATGTAGAGGTCTTCACAGTGACAGTAGAGATCGTCACGGTGACAACAGAGTGTATGTAGAGGTCTTCACAGTGATAGTAGAGATCGTCACGGTGACAACAGAGAGTATGTAGAGGTCTTCACAGTGACAATAGAGTGTATGTAGAGGTCTTCACAGTGACAGTAGAGTGTATGTAGCGGTCTTCACATTGACAGTAGAGTGTATGTAGAGGTCTTCAGAGTGACAGTAGAGATCGTCACGGTGACAACAGAGTGTATGTAGAGGTCTTCACAGTGACAATAGAGTGAATGTAGAAATCAAGATGACAGAAGAGAGTATGTCGACACCAACTCGGTCACTGCGGCTTCTGCATAAGTGGAAGTATGACTAGTCGTGATTTAGATCACGTAGGTTATGAGTGGGTGAGATCACCGATTTTGTGTACTGATGTAGATACTGTCGCGCTGACAGGAACTGAATGTGGCTACATTTACTTGATAGTTATACTTTCATTGTTACGATGTAGAGTACGGAGAGAATATGTTGACGAAACAGAATAGCTACAGATATTGAACAATGAATAAAGGGTAGTTTAAGAAGTTATTGTGCTCAAATAAAATGTAATTTATTTCCAGGAATTTTCTTCTTCTAAAATATTTATAATATTCAAGTTCAAATACTTTAATCACACGAGCGTCCCTCCTCTTTATTATCTGTGTGTGGTTCAGCCATCAGGTGTCCCCACCCCAACCTCCACCCGGGGGGCAAGGACTTAATGATGTATAACTGCGGCGACTACAAGTACGGGGCGGTGTGCCCTGTCTCCTGCAAGTCTGGCTACCCCCTTGGCGGCCCCGACCACATCGTCTGCGAGAAAGACGCCTCTTTCCCTCCAGAAGCTACATGGACCTGGAACAAGACGAGTGGTCTCACACCCTACTGCATGGGTAGGCTGGGGATGGGGCGGAAAGGAGGGATCCGCTCCCAGGGTACAGAACATGGTGGTGGGGAAGGACATCTGGAGGTAGTGAGGATCTTCTGGAAGGGGGAGAGACATCTGGGGGGAGTGAGGGTCTTCTGGTGGTGGGGAGGGACATCTGGAGGTATTGAAGGTCTTCTGGTGGTGGGGAGGGACATCTGGAGGTAGTGGGGATCTTCTGGTGGTGGGGAGGGACATCTGGAGGTATTGAAGGTCTTCTGGTGGTGGGGAGGGACATCTGGAGGTAGTGAAGGTCTTCTGGTGGTGGGGAGGGACATCTGGAGGCAGCAGTGAAGGTCTTCTGGTGGTGGGGGAGGGACATCTGGAGGTAGTGAAGGTCTTCTGGTGGTGGGGAGGGACATCTGGAGGTATTGAAGGTCTTCTGGTGGTGGGGAGGGACATCTGGAGGTAGTGGGGATCTTCTGGTGATGGGGAGGGACATCTGGATGTATTGAAGGTCTTCTGGTGGTGGGGAGGGACATCTGGAGGTAGTGAAGGTCTTCTGGTGGTGGGGAGGGACATCTGGAGGTAGTGAAGGTCTTTCTGGTGGTGGGGAGGGACATCTCTGGAGGTAGTGAAGGTCTTCTGGTGGTGGGGAGGGACATCTGGAGGTATTGAAGGTCTTCTGGTGGTGGGGGGAGGGACATCTGGAGGTATTGAAGGTCTTCTGGTGATGGGGAGGGACATCTGGAGGTATTGAAGGTCTTCTGGTGGTGGGGAGGGACATCTGGAGGTAGTGAGGGTCTTCTTGTGGTGGGGAGGGACATCTGGAGGTATTGAAGGTCTTCTGGTGATGGGGAGGGACATCTGGAGGTATTGAGGTCTTCTGGTGGTTGGGAGGGACATCTGGAGGTAGTGAAGGTCTTCTTTTGGTGGGGAGGGACATCTGGAGGTATTGAAGGTCTTCTTGTGGTGGGGAGGGACATCTGGAGGTGAAAGGTCTTCTTGTGGTTGGGAGGGACATCTGGAGGTATTGAAGGTCTTCTGGTGGTGGGGAGGGACATCTGGAGGTATTGAAGGTCTTCTGGTGATTGGGGAGGGACATCTGGAGGTATTGAAGGTCTTCTGGGGGTGGGGAGGGACATCTGGAGGTAGTGGGGATCTTCTGGTGATGGGGAGGGACATCTGGAGGTATTGAAGGTCTTCTGGTGGTGGGGGGAGACATCTGGAGGTAGTGAAGGTCTTCTGGTGGTGGGGAGGGACATCTGGAGGTATTGAAGGTCTTCTGGTGGTGGGGAGGGACATCTGGAGGTAGTGAAGGTCTTCTGGTGTTGGGGAGGGATATCTGGAGGTAGTGAAGGTCTTCTGGTGGTGGGGAGGGACATCTGGAGGTAGTGAAGGTCTTCTTGTGGTGGGGAGGGACATCTGGAGGTAGTGAAGGTCTTCTTGTGGTGGGGAGGAACATCTGGAGGTAGTGAAGGTCTTCTTGTTGTGGGGAGGGACATATGGAGGTAGTGGGGATCTTCTGGAGATGGGGAGGGACATCTGGAGGTATTGAAGGTCTTCTGGTGGTGGGGAGGGACATCTGGAGGTAGTGAAGGTCTTCTGGTGGTGGGGAGGGACATCTGGAGGTAGTGAGGGTCTTTTGGTGAAGGGGAGGGACATCTGGAGGTATTGAAGGTCTTCTGGTGGTGGGGAGGGACATCTGGAGGTAGTGAAAGGTCTTCTGGTGGTGGGGAGGGACATCTGGAGGCAGTGAAAGGTCTTCTTGTGGTGGGGAGGGACATCTGAGGGAGGTAGTGAAGGTCTTCTGGTGGTGGGGAGGGACATCTGGAGGTATTGAAAGGTCTTCTGGTGGTGGGGAGGGACATCTGGAGGTAATGAAGTTCTTCTGGTGGGTGGGGAGGGATATCTGGAGGTAGTGAAGGTCTTCTTGTGGTGGGAGGGACATCTGGAGGTATTGAAGGTCTTCTTGTGGTTGGGAGGGACATCTGGAGGTAGTGAAGGTCTTCTGGTGGTGGGGGAGGGACATCTGGAGGTAGTGAGAAGGTCTTCTGGTGATTGGGAGGGACATCTGGAGGTATTGAAAGGTCTTCTGGAGGTGGTGGGGAGGGACATCTGGAGGTAGTGAAAGGTCTTCTGGTGGTGTGGAGGGACATCTGGAGGTAGTGAAGGTCTTCTGGTGGTGGGGAGGAACATCTGGAGGTAGTGAAGGTCTTCTGGTGGTGGGGAGGGATATCTGGAGGTAGTGAGAAGGTCTTCTTGTGGTGGGGAGGGACATCTGGAGGTAGTGAAGGTCTTCTTTTGGTGGTGGGGAGAGGACATCTGGAGGTAGTGAAAGGTCTTCTGGTGGGGGAGGGACATCTGGAGGTAGTGAGGGTCTTTTGGTGATGGGGAGGGACATCTAGAGGTAGTGAGGGTCTTCTTGTGGTGGGGAGTGAGATCTGGAGGTAGTGAGGGTCTTCTTGTGGTGGGGAGGGACATCTGGAGGTATTGAAGGTCTTCTGGTGTTTGGGAGGGATATCTGGAGGTAGTGAAGGTCTTCTGGTGGTGGGGAGGGACATCTGGAGGTATTGAAAGTCTTCTGGTGATTGGGAGGGACATCTGGAGGTATTGAAGGTCTTCTGGTGGTGGGGAGGGACATTTGGAGGTAGTGGGGATCTTCTGGTGGTGGGGGAGGGACATCTGGAGGTAGTGAAAGGTCTTCTTGTGGTGGGGAGGGACATCTGGAGGTAGTGAAGGTCTTCTGGTGGTGGGGAGGGACATCTGGAGGTAGTGAAGGTCTTCTTGTGGTGGGGAGGGACATCTGGAGGTATTGAAGGTCTTCTGGTGGTGGGGAGGGACATCTGGAGGTATTGAAGGTCTTCTGGTGATTGGGAGGGACATCTGGAGGTATTGAAAGGTCTTCTTGTGGTGGGGAGGGACATCTGGAGGTGAGTGGGGATCTTCTGGTGATGGGGAGGGACATCTGGAGGTATTGAAAGGTCTTCTGGTGGTGGGGAGGACATCTGGAGGTAGTGAAGGTCTTCTGGTGGTGGGGAGGGATATCTGGAGGTATTGAAGGTCTTCTGGTGGTGGGGAGGACATCTGGAGGTAGTGAAAGGTCTTCTGGTGTTGGGGAGGATATCTGGAGGTAGTGAAGGTCTTCTAGTGGTGGGGAGGGACATCTGGAGGTAGTGAAGGTCTTCTGGTGGTGGGGGAGGGACATCTGGAGGTAGTGAAGGTCTTCTTTTTGGTGGGGAGGGACATCTGGAGGTAGTGAAAGGGTCTTCTGGTGGTGGGGGAGGACATCTGGAGGTAGTGAAAGGTCTTCTGAGGTGGTGGGGAGGGACATCTGGAGGCAGTGAGAAGGTCTTCTGGTGGTGGGGGGAGGACATCTGGAGGTAGTGAAAGGTCTTCTGGTGGTGGGGGAGGGACATCTGGAGGTATTGAAGGTCTTCTGGTGGTGTGGAGGGACATCTGGAGGTAATGAAAGGTCTTCTGGTGGTGGGGAGGACATCTGGAGGTAGTGAGGTCTTTTTGGTGATGGGAGGGACATCTAGAGGTAGTGAGGGTCTTCTTGTGGTGGGGAGTGAGATCTGGAGGTAGTGAGGGTCTTCTTGTGGTGGGGGAGGGACATCTGGAGGTATTGAAGGTCTTCTGGTGTTTGGGAGGGATATCTGGAGGTAGTGAAGGTCTTCTGGTGGTGGGGGGAGGGACATCTGGAGGTATTGAAAGTCTTCTGAGTGATTGGGGAGGGACATCTGGGAGGTATGAAGGTCTTCTGGTGGTGGGGAGGGACATCTGGAGGTAGTGGGGGATCTTCTGGTGGTGGGGAGGGACATCTGGAGGTATTGAAGGTCTTCTTGTGGTGGGGAGGGACATCTGGAGGTAGTGAAAGGTCTTCTGGTGGTGGGGAGGGACATCTGGAGGTAGTAGAAAGGTCTTCTTGTGGTGGGAGAGGACATCTGGAGGTATTGAAGGGTCTTCTGGTGGTGAGGGAGGGACATCTGGAGGTATTGAAGGTCTTCTGGTGATTGGGAGGGACATCTGGAGGTAGTGAAGGTCTTCTTGTGGTGGGGAGGGACATCTGGAGGTAGTGGGGATCTTCTGAGTGATGATGGGGAGGGACATCTGGAGGTATTGAAAGGTCTTCTGGTGGTGGGGGAGGGGGACATCTGGAGGTAGTGAAAGGTCTTCTGGTGGTGGGAGGGATATCTGGAGGTATTGAAGGTCTTCTGGTGGTGGGGAGGGACATCTGGAGGTAGTGAAGGTCTTCTGGTGTTGGGGAGGGATATCTGGAGGTAGTGAAGGTCTTCTAGTGGTGGGGAGGGACATCTGGAGGTAGTGAAGGTCTTCTGGTGGTGGGGAGGGACATCTGGAGGTAGTGAAGGTCTTCTTTTGGTGGGGAGGGACATCTGGAGGTAGTGAAGGTCTTCTGGTGGTGGGGAGGGACATCTGGAGGTAGTGAAGGTCTTCTGGTGGTGGGGAGGGACATCTGGAGGCAGTGAAAGGTCTCTCTGGTGGTGGGGAGGGACATCTGGAGGTAGTGAAGGTCTTCTGGTGGTGGGGGGAGGGACATCTGGAGGTATTGAAGGTCTTCTGGTGGTGGGGAGGGACATCTGGAGGTAATGAAGGTCTTCTGGTGGTGGGGAGGGACATCTGGAGGTAGTGAAGGTCTTCTGGTGGTGGGGAGGGACATCTGGAGGTATTGAAGGTCTTCTGGTGGTTGGGAGGGACATCTGGAGGTAGTGAAGGTCTTCTGGTGGTGGGGAGGGACATCTGGAGGTAGTGAAGGTCTTCTGGTGGTGGGGAGGGACATCTGGAGGTAGTGAAGGTCTTCTGGTGGTGGGGAGGGACATCTGGAGGCAGTGAAGGTCTTCTGGTGGTGGGGAGGGACATCTGGAGGTAGTGAAGGTCTTCTGGTGGTGGGGAGGGACATCTGGAGGTATTGAAGGTCTTCTGGTGGTGGGGAGGGACATCTGGAGGTAATGAAGGTCTTCTGGTGGTGGGGAGGGACATCTGGAGGTAGTGAAGGTCTTCTGGTGGTGGGGAGGGACATCTGGAGGTATTGAAGGTCTTCTGGTGGTTGGGAGGGACATCTGGAGGTAGTGAAGGTCTTCTGGTGGTGGGAGGGACATCTGAGGTAGTGAGGTCTTCTGGTGGTGATGGGGAGGGACATCTAGAGGTAGTGAGGGTCTTCTTGTGGTGGGGAGGGAGATCTGGAGGTAGTGAGGGTCTTCTTGTGGTGGGGAGGGACATCTGGAGGTATTGAAGGTCTTCTGGTGGTTGGGAGGGATATCTGGAGGTAGTGAAGGTCTTTTGGTGGTGGGGAGGGACATCTGGAGGTATTGAAGGTCTTCTGGTGATTGGGAGGGACGTCTGGGGGTATTGAAGGTCTTCTGGTGGTGGGGAGGGACATCTGGAGGTAGTGGGGATCTTCTGGTGGTGGGGAGGGACATCTGGAGGTATTGAAAGTCTTCTGGTGGTGGGGAGGGACATCTGGAGGTAGTGAAGGTCTTCTGGTGGTGGGGGAGGGACATCTGGAGGTAGTGAAGGTCTTCTGGTGGTGGGGAGGAACATCTGGAGGTAGTGAAGGTCTTCTGGTGGTGGGGAGGGATATCTGGAGGTAGTGAAGGTCTTCTTGTGGTGGGGAGGGACATCTGGAGGTAGTGAAGGTCTTCTGGTGGTGGGGAGGGACATCTGGAGGTAGTGAAGGTCTTCTGGTGGTGGGGAGGGATATCTGGAGGTAGTGAAGGTCTTCTTGTGGTGGGGAGGGACATCTGGAGGTAGTGAAGGTCTTCTGGTGGTGGGGAGGGACATCTGGAGGTAGTGAAGGTCTTCTGGTGGTGGGGAGGGACATCTGGAGGTAGTGAGGGTCTTTTGGTGATGGGGAGGGACATCTGGAGGTAGTGAGGGTCTTCTTGTGGTGGGGAGGGAGATCTGGAGGTAGTGAGGGTCTTCTGGTGGTGGACCTCGAGGAGGACAGGGACATATAGTGTCACGTGGCAGTGTTGGAGGGGAGAGAATTTGCCACTGGTTATCCTTGCAAAGAAACGATTAGATATTGTAAAGGCGAATATTAAAGTCCATATTAAAGAGTAGAGTAAAGAATTTGTACACTTTTGATTCCCATAGTTTTTCATAGTTTTCTCCATCAGAAAAGTTGTCAAGTATATTAAAGACAAGAAACTCAAACAAGACAAAAGGAATCGTTAGTGGTGTAAACTTCCAATCCAAAATTGCTCCCAAGCGCAGATAATTCTGTTTATCTCATTTTCTTGTTCCAGAGAGAAATTGCTCGAATCTGACAGCCCCAGACAATGGCGCCATGGTTTGTGACAAGTGGATGCACGGACGGATGTGCCAGATGCAGTGCAGCGCCAACTACAGCTTCCCTCGCTCAGCTCCCCATGACGGCATGTTCGTGTGTGGCGGAGCGAGGGGCAAGTGGATGCCCACAGAAGACGTCCCCGACTGTGTTGGTAAGTATACAATATCCCTTTTGAACAAACAGTGAAATCTGCTATTCTAAATTTTAAATGACCTGCACACTTTCTGTCTCTGCCTCACAATTCCAGATTCACTAACGTGTCACGGTAATCATGTTTTCAGCATACTCCGGCTTCTCCACAATGAGGATGCCAGCGTACTTCTACTACAACGGTACGTGTCCGGGCAACCCGGGAGTACAGAACCAGATCAAGCAGAACTTCATCAAGGCTGTTTCCAGCTCCCTCAAGTACGGCTTTGAATCTTGCACAAATGTTAAAGCTTGCCAACCAGACAACGTCCAGGTAATCTGCGGTAAAGTCACTCGAGATCTGAGCGGACCAGGATCCAAAGACTCTCTCACAATCAAGTTTGATGTCGTTGTTGCCTACGATGACAGCAAGGGTTCTGGGCCTAGTGCACTGGGCTTCAACGATCAGAGACTTCACACGGTGGCTGCCAAACTGCAGACGGTGGCTCAGACTAACTCTCTTGGACTTGACAAGTTTGGACTAAAGCTTGATAAAGCTAACGTGGAGCCACAGACAGCCTCTCTAGATTGTCCCACAGGGAAGATGCCGGACATGGCTAAAGGAATATGTGGTGTGTATTCGTGTTACTGTGTCTGTACAAACACATCCAATGCTCACAGACATGCTGTAAATCTCTACAGTAGTTAAAGAACATAACGGCTATCACCTATTCCAGGGCATAAAGGCCATGTCAACCTTAGCCCTAAGAGCCAACCCGTGAAGATCCCGGTTAGAATTGTTCTTCAGTAACCCATGCTTGTCGTAAGAGGCGATTTACGAGATCGGATGGTCAGACTCGCTGACTTGGTTGACAAATGTCATCGCATCCCAATTGCGTAGATCGATGCTCATGCTGTTGACCACTGGCTTGTCTGGTCCAGACTCGATTATTTACAGACCGCCTGTATATAACTTGAATAGTGCGGCGTTAAATAACAAACCAACCAATCAATCGTAAGAGCCGACATCATGGCCAGTCATAGCAAAGTCGATCAACTTGCCCGATGGTTTAGGTCATTCATTACACCTTCACCCTCTGGTCTGTCTGGTCGAAACTGAAACATGTATCTAGACCACCGTGATATTACAGGAATACTGTAGCTTGAGACATTCACTCACTAACTAAATGAACGCTTCTATTTCTATTTCATGAATTCTATTTCTATTTCATTGCAGTTGGATGCCCGAGGGGTTCACACCTCGACTCCAGCACGAAGACATGCGTGGACTGCCCGGTCGGCAGCTATCAGGACCGAGATAGTAGCGCCACCTGCCTGACATGCCCGGATGGGATGTCCACGGCCACTTCTGGATCTAAAAACATGTCAGATTGCAAAGGCACATGCTATTTTTTGTTGTTGTTTCAAATGTGAAAATATTGATGATTATGGGGAGACCAAAATGATAAAATTAAGATACAATGTTGAGTAAATACATACATTAGGTTCAGAATTTGAAAACTGTCAATATAGTATTTGACATGGCTGAAGTATACATTCGCCAAGGCCTAGTTATGATTTCCAGCACGTGAACAAAATGTGAAGTCCCTCTCTAGAAATAGAATGCTTTGAATATACACAAACAATGATCTTGTCATTCTCATAGGTATCTGTCAACCGGGCTTTATCTCCCCTGATGGCCTTGAACCATGCAACGCCTGTCCAATGGGGACGTTCCAAGGAATGCCAAGAAATCAACATTGTTCTGCTTGCCCAAAAGGGCAGATAACTCGGTCAACCGCGGCAACTGCTCACGAAGACTGCATAGGTAGTATTTGTTGCCCAACATTAGCACGCCCCTTCACTGTAAATACCCACTCCATGTATTGTATGAATTCAAACAAAGTCACGTAAACAAGAGGTAGATGGCACGCTCGCCAAGACATCATTCTATGTGGAACACTATGCTATTATAGTAATTCATATAATATCATCAGTGTGGAGTGGTTTTGTTGATGCAATGATAGCGTTGCGTACTTTCCCTTCCTCTCTCCTCAGACTTTGACCTGTCCCTGCAAGCCAACGGTGTGGCGATATTCAAGGCACAGCCCCAGCCTCTCAGTCAGCTGACATTTGCCATGTGGCTATATCTGTACGACACCGTCACGGAGTCCTTCGACATCGCCACCTGGCAAGATCCTTTCACAATGAAGACGTCTTTCGCTCTTGTTCTGAAGAAATCTCTTGAACTTATTGCAGGAAGGCAAGTACAATACCCTTAAACGGTTAGGATGTTCTGTGTGGGTGGTACTGCACGCAGACTTACATCACCGTCTGTCAGCTGCTGACCGATGCCTTGGAGCAGAACCTGATTGTTCAGGACACAAACACAGTGACCATGACTTTTAGCCCGGGTTAGGTTCAGAGCAGACATCAAGGTGATCAGATCTTACAGTAACAGTTAGGCTCAGGGAATTAATGTAGATGTTAATAGTTTGAACCCAATGTCAACAAGAAGCATTGTCTCCACGAGAGACATATATTGTGGTGGAATGCGACCCCAGTGTCCCGTCCAGGTCGCCAGCAGTGACATTTCAATGTTTCCCCTGACCAATCCAGGTCGTCTGAAGAGACAATATCAAACTGTCGTCACATGTCCTGTCCAGATCGTCCGTAGTGGCAAAACCAAAATGTTATCACATCTCCCGTCCAGGTTGTTTATAGTGAGAATCTCAAAATGTTAACCCATGTCCAGTCAAATTGTTCTATAGTGACATTACTATGTAATCCCTTGTCCCCGCCAGGTCGTCTGCAGTTACCGATGTCGGACTACCGGCCAGACAGTGGACACACGTGGCCCTACAGGCGGACAGCCAATCAGGAGTTGTCAGCTTGTACGTCAATGGAAAGCTGGCGGGGACACCAAACATGACACTGTCAGGAGCCTTAATTCCTGCCGGCCACAGCCTCACCATCAGAACCAGCAACAACGGTGGGCCTCGAGATAATGCTTAGTGACTGATGACTTAATTCTAATGTTCTGCGCTAATGCTCTGCTCTAATGCTCTGCTATTCAAGAAGTGACGTAGCCAATATGGTGTGTTTGTAATCTTTGGATTGACAGTTGGTCTGTTATGAATGTACGTGATTGTATCTATTATTTGTTATAATGGTCAAGACAGTTAGTTGCAAAGACGTCTAATATGACAGAGATGAAGCGATGCAGTCTTATATTGTAGAAATGAAGCGATAGAGTCTTATATTGTAGAGATGAAGCGATAGAGTCTTATATTGTAGAGATGAAGCGATAGAGTCTTATATTGTAGAGATGAAGCGACGGAGCCTTATATTGTAGAGATGAAGCGATAGAGTCTTATATTGTAGAGATGAAGCGATGAAGTCTTATATTGTAGAGATGAAGCGATGGAGTCTTATATTGTAGAGATGAAGCGATAGAGTCTTATATTGTAGAGATGAAGCGATGGAGTCTTATATTGTACAGATGAAGCGATGGCCAAACAAAACCGTCTCTCCCAGTGCACAGACCAAACCTTGCTGTTCACGCACGCTACAGAACTGTTTTCTTCATACTTTATGCAATTGAATCTCTCTCTTACTCACTCACTCACGTATGCACGCACGCACGCACGCACGCACGCACCCACCCGCCCAATCACCCACTCACTCACTCACTTCAGTGCCTGCTGTGCTGTCCCAAGTGATGGTTTACGACACGGTGGTCCCGACTACAACCATCTCCCACCTGGCTGCCTCCTGCTCCACACACGACACAAACTACATCATTGACCAGACCGATCTCACCGACCTCTCCGACGGCGTCAACCACGTCATCCCTAGCGTCTGTGGAGGTGAGCGACTTTAATGGCTATAAAATAGTAGACCTATGTAAACACTCTTCTCCTCTGCAGTAGGCCTAGTTATACACTCTTCTCCTGTACCGTACACCCATGTAAACACTCTTCTCCTATACAGTAGGCCTAGTTATACACTCTTCTCCTCTACAGTTGGCCTATGTAAACACTCTTCTCCTCTACAGTAGGCCTAGTTATATTATCTTCTCCTCTACAGTAGGCCTAGTTATATTCTTCTCCTCTATAGTAGGCCTATGTAAACACTGTTCTCCTCAACAGTAGGCCTAGTTAAACACTCTTCTCCTCTACTGTAGGCCTATGCATACACTCTTCTCCTCTTCTGTAGGCTATGTAAACACTCTTCTCCTCTACAGTAGGCCTAGTTATATTATCTTCTCCTCTACAGTAGGCCTAGTTATACTCTTCTCCTCTATAGTAGGCCTATGTAAACACTGTTCTCCTCAACAGTTGGCCTATGTAAACACTCTTCTCCTCTACAGTAGGCCTAGTTATATTATCTTCTCCTCTACAGTAGGCCTAGTTATACTCTTCTCCTCTATAGTAGGCCTATGTAAACACTGTTCTCCTCAACAGTAGGCCTAGTTAAACACTCTTCTCCTCTTCTGTAGGCTATGTAAACACTCTTCTCCTCAACAGTTGTCCTATGTAAAGACTCTTCTCCTCTCAGTAGGCCTAGTTATACACTCTTCTCCTTTACAATAGACCTATGCATGCACTCTTCTCCTCTACAGTAGGCCTATGCATACACTCTTCTCCTCTACTGTAGGCTATGTAAACACTCTTCTCCTCTCAGTAGGCCTATGTATACACTCTTCCCCTCTACCGTAGGCCTAGTTATACACTCTTCTTCTCTACCGTAGGCCTATGTACTCCTCTACAGTAGGCCTATGTATACACTCTTCTCCTCTAAAGCACGCCTATGTATACACTCTTCTCCTCTACAGTAGGCCTATGTATACACTCTTCTCCTCTATAGCACGCCTATGTATACACTCTTCTCCTCTCAGTAGGCCTAGTTATACACTCTTCTTCTCTACCTTAGGCCTATGTACTCATCTACAGCAGGCCTATGTACACACTCTTCTCCTCTACAGTAGGCCTATGTATACTCTCTTCTCCTCTACAGTAGGCCTATGTATACACTCTTCTCCTCTATAGCACGCCTATGTATACACTCTTCTCCTCTCAGTAGGCCTAGTTATACACTCTTCTTCTCTACCTTAGGCCTATGTACTCATCTACAGCAGGCCTATGTACACACTCTTCTCCTCTACAGCAGGCCTATGTATACACTCTTCTCCTCTACAGTAGGCCTATGTATACACTCTTCTCCTCTACAGCAGGCCTATGTATACACTCTTCTCCTCTCAGTAGTCCTATGTATACTCTCTTCTCCTCTACAGTAGGCTTATGTATACACTCTTCTCCTCTACAGTAGGCCTATGTATACTCTCTTCTCCTCTACAGTAGGCCTATGTATACACTCTTCTCCTCTACAGTAGGCCTATGTAAACACTCTTCTCCTCTACAGTAGTCCTATGTATACACTCTTCTCCTCTACAGTAGGCTTATGTATACACTCTTCTCCTCTACAGTAGGCCTATGTATACTCTCTTCTCCTCTACAGTAGGCCTATGTATACACCTTTCTCCTCTACAGTAGGCCTATGTAAACACTCTTCTCCTCTACAGTAGTCCTATGTATACTCTCTTCTCCTCTACAGTAGGCCTATGTATACACTCTTCTCCTTTACAGTAGGCCTATATGTATACTCTCTTCTCCTCTACAGTAGGGCCCTATGTATACACTCTTCTCCTCTACAGTAGGCCCTATGTATACTCTCTTCTCCTCTACAGTAGGCCTATGTATACTCTCTTCTCCTCTACAGTAGGCCTATGTATACTCTCTTCTCCTCTACAGTAGGCCTATGTATACTCTCTTCTCCTCTACAGTAGGCCTATGTATACACTCTTCTCCTCTACAGTAGTCCTATGTATACACTATTCTCCTCTACAGTAGGCCTATGTATACACTCTTCTCCTCTAAAGCACGCCTATGTATACACTCTTCTCCTGTACAGTAGGCCTATGTATACACTCTTCTCCTCTATAGCACGCCTATGTATACACTCTTCTCCTCCCTCAGTAGGCCCTAGTTATACACTCTTCTTCTCTACCTTAGGCCTATGTGCTCATCTACAGCAGGCCTATGTACACACTCTTCTCCTCTACAGTGGGCCTATGTATACACTCTCTCTCCTCTACAGTGGGCCCTATGTATGCACTCTTTCTCCTCTACAGTAGGCCTATGTATACACTCCTTCTCCTCTCACAGTAGGCCCTATGTATACACTCTTCTCCTCTACAGTAGGCCCTATGTAAACACTCTTCTCCTCTACAGTAGTCCCATGTATACACTCTTCTCCTCTACAGTAGGGCTATGTATACACTCTTCTCCTCTACAGTAGGCCTCCATGTATGCTCTCTTCTCCTCTACACAGTGAGGCCTATGTATACACTCTTCTCCTCTACAGTAGGCCTATGTATACTCTCTCTTCTCCCTCTACAGTAGGCCTATGTATGCTCTCTTCTCCTCTACAGTAGGCCTATGTATACTCTCTTCTCTCCTCTACAGTAGGCCCTATGTATACACTCTTCTCCTCTACAGTAGGCCTATGTATACACACCCTCTTCTCCTCTACAGTGGGCCCTATGTATACACTCTTCTCCTCTCAGTAGGCCCTAGTTATACACTCTTCTTCTCTACCTTAGGCCTATGTACTCATCTACAGCATGCCTATGTACACACTCTTCTCCTCTACAGTAGGCCTATGTATACACTCTTCTCCTCTACAGTAGGTCCTATGTATACACTCTTCTCCTCTACAGTAGGCCTATGTACACACTCTTCTCCCTACAGTAGGCCTATGTATACTCTTCTCCTCTACAGTAGGCCTATGTATACACTCTTCTCCTCTACAGTAGTCCTATGTATACTCTCTTCTCCTCTACAGTAGGCTTATGTATACACTCTTCTCCTCTATAGCACGCCTTTGTATACACTCTTCTCCTGTACAGTAGGCCTATGTAATCACGCTTCTCCTCTAAAGCACGCCTATGTATACATTCTTCTCATCTACCGTAGGCCTATGTAAACACTCTTCTCCTCTACAGTAGCCCTATGTAAACACTCTTTTCATCTACAGTAGGCCAAGTTATACCCTTTTCTCCTCTACTGTAGACCTATGTAAACACTCTTCTCCTAGATCTATAGTAGGCCTATGTACACACTCTTTTCCCCTACAGTACGCTTATGTATACACTCTTCTCCTCTACAGTAGGCCTATGTAAACACGCTTCTCCTCTAAAGCACGCCACTGTATACACTCTTCTCTTCTACAGTAGGTCTATGTATACACTCTTCTCCTCTACAGTAGGCCTATGTAAACACTCTTCTCCTATATCTATAGTAGGCATATGTACTCCTCTACAGTAGGCCGTATTTGCATGCACAGTTATGAGTTATTAGCCTTTCTTACAATATGCCAGGCCTTATGTAATCAACCCGTACACAGCCCACGACTCCGGTAAATATCTTGTATGGATGGAAATGTTGATTAAGTCAAGGTCCCAATCACACAGGTTGGACCTGATCCATAGTGTGTCAACAATCATTCATGGGATGATGAAAAATCCTATCCAGGACAATTATATTATGTTGATATACACGCATTTATTTATATGTTATCCAGAGATAATTCTATAATATGCATATATTTATATTTTACAAACTTTAAATCACAATTCTTTTGCATTTCGTTCTGACAGAATATCTCCAGTAAGCAGCAGCACGCCCAGATGGACCTGGATCTTCCTCGCCTGTAATTACAGACGCAATAAAAAGTGTACAGACACATTTATGTTGTTCATGGGGTATACTTCATCACAAACAACAAACGTTATTGTTACACAGCTTTTCGTAAGAGGCGACTAACGGGATCGGGTGGTCAGGATCGCTGACATGGTTGACACATGTCATCGTATCCCATTTGCGTAGATCGACGCTCATGCTGATGATCACTGGAGTGTGTGGTCCAGGTTCGAGTATTTACAGACCGCCGCCATATAGCTGGACTATTGCTGAATGAGGCGTTAAAGAACAAAGAAACAAACCAATTGTATAAGAGGAGGGATGACTTCTACTTCCAAATGGTCAACTTTACTTCTGTTTCGATCAGTATTCCATCAGCTCCAACATTTGCGGCCTACATTTCACAACTTCCAGGTACCATCGGGCAAGCACTGTCTTCAAAGACACACGATTCTTTCCAAAGTCGTTGTTTACTTGTTACAAGCAGTCAAGGCCAAACATTCAAAGATTAAATCTGAAACAGATCCGGTGGTGTTGACGCGTCTCTGAATGTGTACTTCAGGCGGGTACATCACAGGAAGGGAACTGTCTATTTTCCTTTTCTACAAGGACTTCGGATAATCCATGAACGTTTATGTTACACTTCCGGGCCAAGTTATCTCGTTTTGTTTGTGGCAATCAGATCTGAGATTCTGATTCTGGTGCAAGAAGGTTTGTCTGTTCCTGAACGTCGCATTAAGCACACAGCTATTTGGCGGTGGTCTGTAAATGATCAAGTCTGTACCAAAACGGTCTAGTGATTTTATGCATTTGCGACACGATGGCATGTATCAATCAAAGACTATTCTGAACTTCACGGGTCTCCTGACAGACACCAATAAACCACGCTGACCAGCAGAGAAACCATTGTACATGTTGGGCAGAAAGGCACCATTACACAAGTTGACCATTTGAGACGCCATTACAGAAATTAATCAGTAGAGGCACCATTACACAAAGCACCATTACACAAGTTGACCATTTGACACCATTAAACCAAGTTGACCAGTTGAGACGCCATTATAGAAATTGACCAGTACAGTCGCCATTACACGGGTTGGCCATTTGAGACACTATTATCTAAGTTGACCATTTGAGACGCCATTACACACGTTCACCAGTAGCGACGCCATTACACAAGTTGACTAGCTGAGACGCCATTACACAAGTTGACCATTTGAGACACCATTATCTAAGTTGACCAGTTGAGATGCCATTACACAAGATGACCAGTTGAATCGCCATTACACAAGTAATGTAGAAACCACAATAACTCGGTGCGCCTAGTGGCTGCAAGAGTTGTATACTCTCCAGGGAGTTGAGATTGATAATACGATGTGCCGTTGAGATTGACATCCAATGATCGAGGGGAAAAATTGAGTCTTGACCGTCTGACCAGAAGGATCATGTCTGATAACAGAGCCCACCACCCTCGTTCCTCTCTTAACCGTTTATACATGCCATGTTGTTGGACAGAATCTGAGATTTGAGGTTGATTTTGTTGATGGCGATGTACTGCTGGACGGTACAGTGATGGGAGTAAACCAGGTGAAGTCCTTCACAAAGTCTGCCCAGAGTCGGTCTTTTGTGGAGAAGCTTTCTGAGAAGCCATTGCATCGTGTGTACATGCAGTGTGTTGAACAGAATAGCAATCCCACCGACTCCTTCGCCTGGATGAAGTCGGCTTGTCTTAAATGTAAAACTGAGGGCTTCCTTTTTGCTGCTCAGGACCAGTCACTTCCCACGCGCAATCGCCTAAATGTGATTCTTAAAGAAAATATCAATATGAAATGTCGACTTTGCAATGAATTCACGGAGACTGTCTAACACCTTGTCAGTGGATGCCCTTCCTTGGCACAAACACCATATCTTAAACGACATGATGGCATGGCTCGTTGCTTTTACTACCGTCTCCGACATGCCTGTGGCTTTGACTCCGAGGTCCATCCATGGTACGACCCTGAACATGTCCAGGGCGTCATGGAAAATGATGCTTTCAAACATCTGTGGAATAGGCCCATATACACCCTCAGAAGAATTCCAGCCAACAAACCTGATCTTGTCCTTTTTGATAAAGCCAATGAATTGATTTATATCATTGAATTTTCTGTCCCTTTTGACACCAATGTGATTGGCAAGATTCAGGAAAAGCATGATAAATATGCGGACCTCGCCTTTGAAATGTCTCGCTTGCATCCCAAGTACACTGTCGTCAGGCTCCGCATTGTTCTCGGTGCCCTTGGTTTGGTACCTCCTGATCTCTTGGCGCAGATCAAGAACTCTCACCGGGAGTACAGCCCTTCTGACACTTTGGGTAATGCAGAAGGCTGCAGTGTTGGGGAGCCTTCATATTCTCCGGAAAGTTCTTGGTGGGTTCGACTAGGCAGCGTTTCCTGGGAGAAGTCCCATTCGCTGTCTGGGCTGCGTGTAGAGGGGGCAATGGCCCTGAGCTGATGATGAGCCTTGCCAGCCTGACTGTGCCAGGATCACCCGAACCCTCTCTGCTGCATGCTATCTTTAATCTGTAAATAATAATACTAATAATAATCAAATTGACCAGTTGAAACGCCTTTACACAAATGAATTAGAGAATACAGCCTTAGATTAGAGCTGGTGGCACCACACAGGTTTGACAGATTAACATGCTTTCGAAAACGTCGAAATTACCAAGATCGTTATCCCTCTCGTTGCGAGTTTGAATAACATGCTCTGTGATTTAACTAATTCAAATGTATTTTAAGCATGAATTGCATATCCAAACTCGACCTACGTTGGTCTCAGCATTCTGTCAGAGTCATTAAATATTAAATATTAATAAATGTACATTGTGACCGGGTGTAAAAACCTTGGAGCCATCTTTGTGTGCAGACTCTCTGAGTGCTTGCACAACCCGTAGTGTACAGTACACAACCCTGTGCACTTAAAAGAACCCAGGAACCCGTTAGCAAATGACAAAATAGTGGCCCGTGAATACGTGCAAACACCTAGTTGTGGGTACAGCAACGTGCAGTAAAACTTGGGACAAAAGACTGTGACTATGTGTCCCAGTCCACCCAGCTGTGAATGGGTACCTCGTAAGGATGGAAAAGCCCCATTAACTCCGTGAGTCTATTTGTGTGATCCCCAGGGAGTTGAGATTGAAAGTACGATGTGCCGTTTGAGTTTGACATCCAATGATCAAGGGGAATCAAAGCGTTGAACAGCCGAGCTGTACAAATGTTAGTATAATAGAAAAATAAATGTAAAATGAATGTGATGTAAGCCCACAACAGCTTCTGTTACGAACACTTATACAAAGGAATACAGCCGTGTTCAAGTTGTACCAGTGCAGGCCGACAGTTGTAATGGGCTTTGGACATGTCCCATGTGGGGCTTTGATCCCGGGCCTTGAGTGTAACGGACAAACACTTTAACCAGTAGGCCACCATGGCGCACCTGCTGGAGTAGAACAGTGATAAGAACGACGTGTTCTGCGGGAATGTGGTATGCTGCTGGCTATGTTCGTCGCCGTGCCCGTCTGGAGACTTTTTGTAGCCTCTTATCTTTTATTGTGAGAAACATGTTGTATGTCTGACCGTCTTTATAACTAAGCCTTTCTGAAATGCTTGTACCTACACGTGATGTAAGCATATGTCTCGTACAGTTTCATGTTTCTGATCCAACACACGTAGACGAAGATTTTACATGTTAGACAACATTTTGACAAAATGACAAGGTAATTGTGACCTACAAAGACGTTTCTTCAGCACAGTTACCTGTGTCTGTGTTGTAGCTGTTGTTTGCGTTTCTTCCTCACAGCTACCTGCGTCTGTGTTGTAGCTGTTGTTTGCGTTTCTTCCTCACAGTTGCCTGCGTCTGTGTTGTAGCTGTTGTTTCTGTTTGTTCCTCACTGTTACCTACGTCTCTGCTGTAGCTGTTGTTTCTGTTTGTTCCTCAGAGTTGCCTGCGTCTGTGTTGTAGCTGTTGTTTCTGTTTGTTCCTCACAGTTACCTACGTCTCTGCTGTAGCTGTTGTTTCTGTTTGTTCCTCAGAGTTACCTGCGTCTGTGCTGTAGCTGTTGTTTCTGTTTGTTCCTCAGAGTTACCTGCGTCTGTGTTGAAGCTGTTGATTCCGTTTTTTCCTCACAGTCACCTGCGTCTGTGTTGTAGCTGATGTTCCTGTTTGTTCCTCACAGTAACCTACGTCTCTCCTGTAGCTGTTGTTTCTGTTTGTTCCTCACAGTCACCTGCGTCTGTATTGTAGCTGTTGTTTCTGTTTGTTCCTCACAGTAACCTGCGTCTCTGCTGTAGCTGTTGTTTCTGTTTGTTCCTCACAGTTACCTGCGTCTGTGCTGTAGCTGTTGTTTCTGTTTGTTCCTCACAGTTACCTGCGTCTGTGATGTAGCTGTTGTTTCTGTTTGTTCCTCACAGTAACCTGCGTCTGTGTGTTGTAGATGTTGTTTCTGTTTGTTCCTCAGAGTTACCTGCGTCTGTGTTGTAGCTGATGTTTCTGTTTGTTCCTCCCAGTAACCCACGTCTCTGCTGTAGCTGTTGTTTCTGTTTGTTCCTCAGAGTTACCTACGTCTGTGATGTAGATGTTGTTTCTGTTTGTTCCTCACAGTTACCTGCGTCTGTGACGTAGCTGTTGTTTCTGTTTGTTCCTCACAGTTACCTGCGTCTGTGATGTAGCTGTTGTTTCTGTTTGTTCCTCACAGTAACCTGCGTCTGTGTTGTAGCTGTTGTTTCTGTTTGTTCCTCACAGTTACCCACGTCTCTGCTGTAGCTGTTGTTTCTGTTTGTTCCTCAGAGTTACCTGCGTCTGTGTTGTAGCTGTTGTTTCTGTTTGTTCCTCACAGTTACCTACGTCTCTGCTGTAGCTGTTGTTTCTGTTTGTTCCTCAGAGTTACCTACGTCTGTGTTGTAGCTGTTGTTTCTGTGTGTTCATCACAGTTACCTACGTCTCTGCTGTAGCTGTTGTTTCTGTTTGTTCCTCACAGTTACCTGCGTCTGCGTTGTAGC